TTCATCAAATTAACGCGGATAAACGAATGATTCGTATCAATTTTTTTTGTCTTATAAAGAAATGAGAGAATAAATCAGTACCGAAAATTGAAGACTGATCAATATTTAATTTATTCATCAAATTAACGCGGATAAATGAACGAGTCGTATAAATTTTTTTTCTTGTAGAGAAATGAAAGAGTAAATCAGTACCGAAAATCGAATCGATCAATACCGTAAATCAGTGTAAGAAAATTGTCCAAGTGCAATGACAATTTATTCTCATTTTTCAGGCACTTATCTCTCTAATCTTATTCAACAAATTAACTCGAATAAACGAATGATTCGTATCAATTTTTCTTGTGTTATAAAGAAATGACAGAATAAATCAGAACCGAAAATTGAAGACCGATCAATATTTAATTTATTCATCAAATTAACGCGGATAAATGAACGAGTCGTATAAATTTTTTTCTTGTAGAGAAATGAAAGAGTAAATCAGTACCGAAATTCGAATATCGATCAATACCAGAAATCAGTGTTAGAAGATTGTCCAAGTGCAATGACAATTCGGTCTCATTTTTCAGGTACTTACCCCTCTAATTTATTCAACAAATTAACTCGGATATATAAACGAACGATTCGTATTCATTTTTTCTTCTCTTATAGAGAAATGAGGAAGTATATCAGTACCGGAAATCGAATATCGATTAATATCGTAAATCAAAATTTATATTACAGTTTAATTCCATCGTTGCGAAAAGTTTGTCGTTTTCTCTATCCTAGTCCTAACTTGTAGAAAATTTGGTACTCATCTCTTTTTGACAAGAGTACGTCGGACTTTCTGTACTAACTAATATAAAAAATTTTTTTCATTCTCATTTTTTCTACGTCTAATATTTTAATACCGAATCTGTCGAAATGAACCGGTCTGCAGAAATCCTGGCAAGACGTTTCTCTCTCTTTCTCGCTCTCCTCTCTCTTCGTCTCTGAATCGCCGCTAACGATCGAAAATCGCAAGCAAAAAGTAACGAAAATTTATTCATCCTAACTAAAACGTTCTCCGTATTATTTTTTAAGCGTTGGATAAATACCGATCTGGCGTTTTGTCAAATATCTAACAAAAGTATCTCCGTTTTTCTCTTGCCGACATTCAAATCGATAGTTTTCTACAAGTTAGGATTTGATAAAAAAAAAGTCTTCCCCGAGTCGAAATATTAATTCTACATTGATTCTGCAAATTACATCTAATTTGAAAAATCAATGCAGAATATCTAGATGCGCAATAGTGAACAAGCTTTGTCCTACCTGAACGTTACATCTGGCTACTCTCGCAGTCTCGCCCATGATGAGTCTTCAACAGCGATGTATTCCGCAGTTATTTAATACTCGTTTATCTCGATAATGTATATGTACTTAATCCTTATATTCTTAATTTAAATGAGCAATTTTTGTTGATGTTGATTATATATTTGCTTAACAGCGCAAGAAAGAGAACAAAGATAAAAACGTAAATAGAACTGCCTTTGTTAGAACTGCGCGTGAGATAAATATATAAGGATTAAATAATCATATAAGAATTAAAGGAAATGGGGAGATGAAAAACACTTTTTATTCTCATCATTCTTAAAGTTCTTTTTTCCTTTTTTCTTCTCTTTTTTTTCTTTTCTTTTTTCTAATGAGAATGATGAGAATTGTAGCTCTCAAAAGAGCTGAAGCTGCAAAGGCAAAGACAACGGTTATGTCTAATAATGCTGTTTCACTAATAGAGATTTTAATTCAGATTCGGTACAATAAGAAAGGTAAACAAGAATGAGAAACGGATATTCTAGCAGATTCTAAACGAAAACAGCAATCTGAGCATTATTAGACGAATAAAAATCAACACTTGCAAAATTTATATCAGATTCTAAGATCATTATTCATAGTTTTCTAAATTATGTGCAATTTTTTATTGAGAACATAATTAAAAATTTGTATTCATAAACCTTAGCTTGCCTCAGCAACCTTGCTTGAATAGACATTCATATTTTATGAGAAAAGAAAAGTAGAACTCATGTTACGTGAAATTAGGTTAACGAATAATCAAATCTCAAGCTATTTTATCATTTTTCAGATGATAAACTATGAATGTTGATCTATTTCGACTCGGGTATGTCCTTACTTCGAGTAAGGTCCGTTAAAATCAGAAAAATCCTGCGTAATAATATTGACTCGAGGTACCTCTAATACCATACATGATGTATCGCTGTCCACGTTTCTCGGCGCGCTCCAAGTCCTCTCTCCATCCTGGCTTCTCGATCCAACGTCCTCCTTCTGGTTACTCCGTCGCAGCACCCCCGGATACTCCATCGTAGCACTGGCGACGACACTGACTCTAGCTCTAACACTCGCGCAAGTAAGATTCGTACAAAGAAACGCGTATTAACCGACACTCGTACTACTCTGCGTCGCGGTATGCGCGTCGTTCGTCGGCCCGAGGCGCAATGTCCTTTCCGCAATCACGGAGTCATATATAAGAGTACGAAAACAATCAGGAAGGTACGGTTACCCCCCACTAGTCGCTGACCTTGCCGATCAGTGTTGATGCCTGCGTCGTCAGTTAGCTGAAAATGAAAACAACTCGTGTTTTCAAAGCATGCCTGTGAGAGACTCGCTTTATACTTCACAATACTTATTTACGTCTGTTCCAAGAATCATATTACGCCGAATTCAAACTGTCTCTATTGACATGACATATACGAGATCTGCGATCGCATCATTGATCTTTCTTTGGACAAGAAAATCCTGAGAGGAACGCTGTTCGAGAATATCACATTTTATGTTTCAGGTGCCTTGCAGATTATCGAATCCGATGTAACAGATCAGGGAAAGTATGAATACGTCGCTATGAATAACACCGTGGGCACGGAGTACTCCAAGTCAATCACGTTATACGTGAAACGTACGTATATGTGATATTATATGAAACTTATCTTTTTAAACAAAAAGATAAAAAGAGGCGCCAAGTACAAGCGCAACACGTATTGTTGCGCTTGTACTATTTTTAGAAGTATCAAACTCAAATTATTTTTTTTATTTTATATATGTGTACATAAGTTTTTACAAGTAAAACTTATAACTATAATAAAACTCTGCAACACTTTTCTACTGTACAAAAGAAGTGATATATTAGAACAGTAGCGCCAACTGAGAAACTTAACATATATATATATATGATTGTTGTATACTTAACTTAATATTTTTAGAAATCTCAAATTCAAATTATTTTCTTTTTTAAGATATATTTTATGTACATAACATAAGTTTTTATAATATATGTACATAAACTTTTAAAAGTAAAAATTGTATTGTGTTATAAAAATTTAACACGTTTGTTAATAGTGCCCATCATTAAAAAAAATATCTTTTTAAATATCTTTTTAAATATCTTTTTTCAAACATTTTTTTAAATATCTTTTTAAATATTTTGTCGACTTGCGGGATATTTATAATCGGAGTCTCGTCGCGTTAATTAACATGTGCTCCTCCGAGCGGATTGAATGCTCACCGACGGCCACTGTCAGTGCCACGAGCGAATGTCCGGAGCGGACGGGATGCTGAATTGTGAAGCAGGACGAAGGGAACGGGACGCGAGCAACAATACATCATGCGTCTCCAGACGTATCAAATCGTTTATTATACAGGAGACTTTGATACGGCAACATGTATGTAGAGGATTTAATATTTAATATGTACTTTGATTTTTCCTGCTCCCCCCCCCGCTCTTTTTAGACCTTCGGGTATAAGGCCTGTTCGTTTTGTCTGCACTGCTGAATTAGTGCATTAAGTTAAAGTGAAATAAACGTAGATTTTCTTACTTCAACTTGTTGCACCAGTTCAGCAGTGCAGACAAAACGAACAGGCCTATTGTCTGGCATAGAGATAGTAACTATGGTTGCAGCACGGACATAAACCGCCTAAAAGTGGATGTAGCACGGACTTCTACCACATGCAGATTTTACCACCAAGACCTAAAAGTGGATGTAGTATCGTAGTTCCCCTCTCAAAATGGATGCAGATGGCCCTTTCACAGTGCGGAAAGTCGGTGTCGCCGAAAACACCGTGTTGGCCGCTCTCATGTTCCTCTCTGATGCAACTAATAGGGCAAGAGCACAGGCTTTTGCATAATACATAATGGGTATATTCAGTACTACAATCGCTCACTGAGCGCTAAGTCAGCTCTTGCATCTGATTGGTGTATATTTTTAAATCTAAAAAAATATACCAATCAAATGTAAAAGCTCATTGAGCGCTCAGTAAGCGGTTGTAGTACTGAATGGGTACATATACACAACGCATAAGAGAATAAACCAATCAGTTTTCTTTATTTCCCTTCTCAGGACAGAAATGAAGAACTCTGATTTGTTGATTCTCTCATGCGTTATGCAAAAGTCTGTGCTCTGGCCCATAGTATGCACGATTTACGTTTACCGTATCTGAGAGACGCTATTGTAAAAACTCCCTATTTCTGAGCGAATAACGTTCACGATTTACGTTTACCGTATCTGAGAGGCTGCATTCAGCAGACTCAACAGTTGGACAACATTACTAAATTTTCATTACTGAATCTCGCCCCTGATTAATAAATACTTCTGGGTCTATGAAGAATCTAAAAGAATGCTCCAATCACAGACAATAATCACTAAGCGCTCTCTGATCACTTTCTACTGAACGCAGCCATTGACGGTATTGCAAAAAACTCCCTAATATCGGAACGCAGCCATCGTCCAGTCCTCTTCAGCATAAGTAAGGCTGCGTTCCGATATTCACTGCCAGTACTGAAAATCTATAATATATGTGACATAAAGTATATATTTTCAATACTGGCAGTGAATATCGGAACGCAGCCTAAGTTTTTGTTCTGACGTGTGAGTGGCGTTGGAGCATCTATTGTATGCACAGAGCCATCTATTGAAGAAGAAGAAGAAGAAGAAGAGTTTCTGTTCTAAGGCGTTTTCAATGACGGACGCTTGCGCTGTGCTGCACCGTGTAGTCCCCTCTCCGAAAGAAAGTACGGTTCTTTCACCGTTCACAGACTTCTCGTAAACCTTAATATAATTCGCGTTGTGCATTACAGAAATATTGTTTTTGTGTTTGTGAAGTTGGCGTTTCATCTTTGTGCTCTTCCTAGTATCCTGTACAGGCCAAAGTGTCCAACTGTACAAGCGGATCATTTCGAGCAGTAACCAGGAAGAGCGTGTATCAATCCATCGTTCCACAACTTCATGCACCAATATGAGTGACTATTCAGCGGTTGCTCCGCCTCAAACCTTTAATCAAAGCACCGCATTCGCGGCGGCACTTCAACGTGCCAAACAGGTAATCGCGATTGTCCATAGATTACAATAATATGCTTCTAATCATGGCACCAGGTGTCAATGAATAAACGCCATCGTTGCATTACCCGCCAAGACTCGTCTTTCTGAACTCCTTTGAGTATTAGCGTCACACCGTTTGTAGCATAAGTTTTGTGTCAATCTTAATATAGTTCTCATTTATTCGCTACGTTATCCTTATCCATAATTTTTCGCTATTTCATTTTGCAATATGGTAAGCTGTTGAGTTATGAAAAACTTTGATGTGTACTGATTTAGCAGTTTCTTGATATGTTATATTTGTCACACCGAATGTTAGTAGTTTTTTTGGGAAACATCTACATAGAGGATTTGTATTGCAATGCCTTTGGTGCGGTATTTCGAGTTTGTATTATCAATAAGTATAATAGGAAGATATGACTAAATTCAGGCAATTTTTATTATTAAGAATTGAATGGAAGTTACAAATGCTTCACATATGATTGATTTATTTGATATGTCATACTTGTTATTTTGTTTTTACTTTGTTATAATATGATACTTTGATATAAATACATATATATTGGATATTTAAAAATAAATTAATTTTCACATTTTGTACTTCTAATTAATCATCTTAGATTGCTGCGAAGATAAATCCTGCTGGTGCACAAAATAATCAAGACTCAAAATTAAAACGTCCTCTTGAAGATAGTTCAGGTAATATTTAATACATCTTTTGAATCTATTGCACTATAAAATAGTTGATATTTGTGTTTTATAGCCATTAACATGATAATATATTTTGTATATTTAGAACCAGAAGCAAAGAAAATGGCAGCGTTAGTGGCAGATCCTTTAATAGGTATTCGTGGAGGACCCGGGGCTAATAGTTCCATTGGAGATTCAGGTAGTCAATCATCCAGGCCACAAACATCTTCTTCCAATGTAGGTGGTATATGCAATGAAGATATTAGAGTGCCAGATAAAATGGTTGGCTTAAGTAAGTAAAATATTAAAAAAAAAGGGATATATGTGTGTGTATGTGTATATATGTATCTATGTATATGTATATATATATATGATTTGCGCGCGTGTGTGTGTGTGTGTGTGTGTGTGTGTGTGTGTGTGTGTGTATGTGTGTGTATGTGCACGCACACGCGTATATGCACACATTCCTGTTGTATAGGTAAATATATTCAATATAAATAATATTTTATTATATTTTATAATCTATTGTAAATTTAAATTTAAATATTTGTTTAAATTTAAGTTTAAGCATTGGTTTTATTATAATATTTTTGTTTCATATTATCTATTATTTTTGATAATATTATATACTGTGTTGTTGATTTAAATATTTTTTACTATTTTGTTATTAACTCATTTACATTACATTATATATATTTCCTTTAAAATATTTATATATATAATATAATGGTATATTTATTTTCATATATTTGAAACTGAAATGTATTAGTAAAAATATTATGCACTATAAAGCAACACATATATATTTTTGAATAATAATAATATATTTACAGTAATTGGAAGAGGTGGCGAACAGATTACAAGATTGCAGAGTGAAACAGGATGTAAAATACAAATGGCACCAGAAAGTGGTGGGCTGCCTGAACGCGTTTGTACACTAACTGGCTCACGAGAAGCTGTCAAGTAACTTGTTTTTCCCTTCTTATTTCGTTAATTTTAACTATTTTGTATGCAATGCAATATCATTTTATACACATGTTGAATGATAATATTTTATTTTACCTGTTGACATTAAGTGTATTTACTTGTCTTTCTCTACAGTAAAAGCATATGACTGTTGGTTCGAATTCTATATTTATAAACAATGAGTTAGGAATATTACTTTGTCCAAAATTGTTATGAATCAGCCAAGCAAATCTGCTATCCTCCTTATACAAGGATACTTTATTCTAATTTATTTAAGTGCGGTCTGTATTCCATATCACAATCCTATCTTACTATTTCCCACAGACAACTAAACAATTTTTTTTTACATTAAAACATGATATTGCGATAATATCGTGATAAATATGTGAATATTGCAACGCTTTATGACTCTATTTATTAGAGATATGATCGGGGCACGATTAGTTTTGATAACATAGTTTGTATGTGTATTCTGTATGCTGTAAATTTCATGTTAACATGCATTTTACAAACATAGGACATATGCTTATGCATATTGAAATCATGAAATGTTTTACAGAATCTCTTTATTTAGCTCCTGGATGCGAATAGCGGGCTCAAACTTGACTTTCTATATGCTTCAGAATTTCTGGCCATTGAAAATCGATCAATAAGTTGACATTTTTAATTTAATAATTTTGTATTTACTAATAGTTTTTTGCTTTTAATAGGGTATGGAGAGAAAGGGAGAAAGGGTGAGAGAGAAAGAGAGAGAGAGAAAGAGAAAGGAGGGAAGGAGGATAGGATATGCATGGGGACGCGTTTAATCACAACATGAAGAAAATTGAACTTTTATTTATTTGAAACTGCTTATTGACTAAATGTATAGCATCTTAACACAAAACCTTTGAAACCTTAAAACCTTGAAACCTTTTTATTGCACCATTGATTGTTAAAGCCATTATCGATTATCAAAGATAAAGTGTTACAAATGTGACATGTATAACATTTTGGCCCACAATAGATAGAATAGTGCATATTTATGTGTTGCAAACAAATTTTATCATTGTATATTGATTGAATCTTTTGACATGTGTGCACACATTTAGTTGAAGATATATTGCACTCTTTTATCCTATATGTTTCAGTCGGGCGAAAGAATTGGTTTTGTCAATTGTGAATCAAAGAAGCAGAAGCGAGGGAATTGGTGATATGAATATGGGTGGAGGTGGTGGTGGAATGATGGGTCATCCAGGGTTTGTTGAGATAATGATACCAGGCCCTAAAGTCGGTCTGATAATTGGCAAAGGTGGTGAAACCATAAAACAACTGCAAGAAAAGTCTGGTGCTAAAATGGTTGTTATACAAGAAGGCCCGTCTCAAGAACAGGAGAAACCATTGAGGTGAGACAAAGATCTCTTTTCCTTTTCTTTTACGTAAGAACGATTATTTTGTGTTATTCTTATATGGTTTCATCTGTTATATTCTTTTTTTTTTTTTATTATTAAAGCGACATTTTGTATGATTATTTAAAGTTGATGTATGTTTTCTATAGAATAACAGGAGATCCTCAGAAAGTTGAACATGCTAAACAATTAGTGTATGAATTAATAGCTGAAAAAGAAATGCAAATGTTTCATAGAGGGGGAAGAGGTAGCGAGAGACCAGGGAACTATACCAATGATAATGGTTTTAACCATGGCCCTGCAAATAATGATGGAGTCGAGGTTAATAATCATCAAATATCTAGATATTCTGTTAATTACATTTCAAAATAATGTAATTAATAGAATTTCGTTGCAGTGGGGACTAGTTGTGGCATTATACAGTAGATACACTTGTTGTTTTGATAGTATAAATCCTGTATTTATAAAATTACATATTACTCAATATAGGTACTCGTTCCAAGAGCTGCGGTGGGAGTCGTTATTGGTAAAGGTGGAGATATGATAAAAAAGATACAAGCGGAAAGCGGAGCCAAAGTTCAATTCCAGCAAGGACGAGAAGACGGTCCTGGTGATCGTAAATGTCTGTTGTCTGGGAAACATCAAGCTGTTGAACAGGCTCGTCAACGAATTCAAGAGTTAATCGATAGCGTTATGGTATATATTTCATAATAAAAATTATAAAATTATTATAGACCGTGTTTATGTATAGTAAGTGATAATACATGAATGTTGTAATCAATATTCTCTATGATTGTGGGGGGGGGGGAGAATTGTGCTATCGGTTAAAAATTTTGTTTTTAATATTTAGAGAAGAGATGATGGTAGAAATAACATGGGAGGCAGAGGTGGTCCAAGAGGTAACGGTTTTGGTGGTAGTCGTAATCCAAATGAGTATGGAAGTTGGGATAGACGACAAGGCGGTCCTATGCAAGATAAGATCGAAACAACGTTCACCGTTCCATCTTCCAAGTGTGGAATTATAATCGGCAAAGGTTTTATTTTATTTACTATACAATATATTTTTCGTCATTTTATAGATTTCAATGTGTTACAGAAATGTCCTATTTTTTATGCAATCATATATTTGTGAAATAATTACATATCGTAAATAATAATGTTTCTTCCGTTTCATAATAAATTATATTATATATTGCTATTAAAGATTAGAAGCACTTGTCACGAATATTTCACGATATTTATATATTTTTTGGTTCTAGGTGGTGAGACTATTAAACAAATAAATCAGCAGACAGGAGCGCATTGTGAATTAGATAGAAGAAATCAAAGTAACGAAAATGAAAAAATTTTTATTATTCGGGGAAATCCTGAGCAAGTTGAGCATGCGAAGAGAATATTTAGCGAGAAGCTAGGCATGGTATGTTTAATGATGTTTGTCTCCACAGAGTAAGTCTATTCCATAACTTTAAACAATAGTGTTATTATCATTACGCTGTCGTTGCGTAACTTTTCTGCCGTAACTGTTATTAAATGTTACAAGATAAACCTGTATATATACAGGATGAGGAAAAAGTATGAAAACCCTTAAAAATCTCGAAAGATATGAGTTTTATGAGGCAGAAAAGTCTCAGACAAAAGTTCTAAGACTCAGAACGATATATTTACTGATCTTGATCAGTTTGATAATATTTTTTGTCTGAAATATTTGTTTATTTACCAAATATATTTTGAGATATTTAAGGAAAACTTCATGATTTTTTCAATATTTAATTTACGATATCTCGCCAACTATTTGTCGGAAGAAAAAATGCTATTAGACTTTTTTACTCCACTTGATCTCAAGAATATATTGTTACAATAGCACCCTAACTTTTGTTAATTTGATTTTGAAATTTCCAAAAATCAATAAGTTAACAAAAGTTAGGGAACTATTGTAACAATATGTTTTTCAGACCAAATAGAGTGAAAAAGTCTAGTACCATTTTTTTCCGACAAATAGCGAGATATTGTAAATTAAATATTGAAAAAGTCATCAAGTTTTCCTTAAATATCTCAAAACATATTAGGTAAATAAAAAAATGTTTCATACAAAAGTTGTTTGAATTAATTGGTAGAAAAAGATGATATAATAAAAAATGGGGGTTTCTGTTAAAAAAAATAAACCTTGGCAACACTACTCAAGGCCAAACTGATAAGATCAGTAACTACATTGTTTTGAGCCTTATAACTTTTGTCTGAAACACTTTTCTATAAAACTTATATCTTTCGAAATTTTTAAGGGTTTCCATACTTTTTCCTCACCTTTTTCCTCACTGTATATATGTATATATATACAATTTTTATTTTATTTTTTTTTTTACTATTTAAAGGGTCCTGCTGGCTCCTCATATACCGGGGCACAAGGTGCAATTGGATACAATCCAAATTGGAACACAGGAACTGGAGGATGTCAAGCATGGCCAAGTCAACCACAATCTAATGATGGAAGTATGTATATTTTTGTCGTTCTTTGTAGTTATATTTAATATTTTGATTAATAATTCGATTAATTTAATATTTCGATTATTATTTTAATTAACGAGTTTCTTGAGATAAATTTATTTTTGCACAGGCAATGCTAATCAACCTCCTGTACAAGTCAATCCACAAACTGGTCAACCAGATTACAGTGCTCAGTGGGCAGAATATTATCGATCATTGGGCTGGCATAGAGAAGCAGATATGATTGAACAACAAGCGAAACAAGGAAAACCAGATCACAATCAACAAGGAGGTAAAATTACTTGAAACACCAGATTGTCAAAAATATTCATAAAAAGGTGTCTATAGTAAGATTTTTCTATTGCTTCAGGTAATTCGCAAAATCAATCTAATCCAGCACCAACAGGCACTGCTGGACCAAATCAGCCGCAGCAGCAGCAGCAGCAGCAACAGCCACAAACTCAACAACAACAGCAGACAGGAGCTGCGCAAAATGGAGGTCAAGCCGATTATAGTGTTCAATGGGCGGAATATTACAGAAGCATCGGAAAAATAAAAGAAGCGGAAGCAATCGAAGTTCAGATGAAGGCGGGCAAGGTATTTCTCTTAAATTATGTCGCCTATTGACATCATTGCGTGTAGTTTTATTGTGTTTTTTCCTACAATCGCGTGTAATATTGTATAGCTTGGGATGCAAGGGAACCAAATGGCTCAGCAGCAAATGCAGACTCTACAAGGTCAATCTGCTGGTCCACCGGGTACCACGCCTAATGCTTTCCCTCAAGCCTATGGAAATTACCCGGCAATGAATGCGGGTTCTGCTCCAGCGGGCTATTATGCAGCGAACGCTGGATCTAATTCTCAACCACAGACAGGGCAACAGAATCCGCCTTTCCCAACAGGCTATCAGAATTACCCTTACTCACAATCGACTTCTGAAAATTAAACTTCCATGTGAGAGAAAAATAAGCTGTAAGTATATATCTCGATATGTAATGTATGTGTGTAAGTTTGCAGAAAATTGTATGAAATATACAAAGTTTCAATAAATTGTTAAATCAAGTTATATATGTTAGTTATGTATGTACTTGCAATGAGTTTACATATTTTGTTTCAGTGATAAAAATGTTCAAGGTTAGTACATATAATGTCATTCAAAATTTATATAATAACAAAAATTCATACAATTTTCTTGACGTTATAGTTATTATATTATGCCAATATGAATTTGAGTGAATCTATGCTTATTTTTTCCAATTTTAATAATTTCTTAAGATACAAGTGAAATACAAAATGCATACACGCGCGTGCACATACATATACACATATGTATGTGTTTTTTGGAAATATTCACAAAAGTGATGGATAAAAAGGATAGAGAATATTAAAAATTATTGTTTAGAATATTGTATTACTGAAATATTTGTTTAAAATTCTTGATTGGACAGAATTGGAAAAAAATACAGACACTATTAATTTATTCCTCGTATTAAGAAAAAAAAAAGTGTTCTCACACATTCATTGATAAAAACAACACTGATAAAAAATTAACTACGTCGAGATCAGTTTGTGTATTCTTTATTTATCTTGAATTGTAATCTGTTTAATAGTATTGTCTTATTTATCGTCTATGATCATTTATAAATGAAATATTTTACACTTATCTTTATATTGGCTTGATATTGTGACATACTATAAATCAATGGTGTAAGAATAAGGAAATGTTACACATCCACTGATATTCATTGAACCTTTCAGGGAATTCGAAGTAAACTTTATAAAATATAAAATTTATGATAATTTCATGATTCGTGTGACGATTTTAATAATGATACAATTTACACCTTTGAAATTAAACCTGTTTCTTGTACATGGATAATCTGTTTTACCGTAATTATTTGTTTATTTCAGATAGTTTTCAGATAGCTTTCCATCGGGATGCGGTTAATGCCTGCTCCATATTATATCTCCATATATATATCTTTCATAAATTACCATAGTTGATGCTTCATAATCTTCATATATCTTTGAAGATCGATTATATTTTGTTTATATTATAATACGTTTAATTTCTCTTCTTTTTTTTACATATATACATATATAGAGATATTATATATAATATAAAGTATCCATCGCTCTAAGTTTAAGTAACAAAAACTATCGAGAATCAATTTGATTGGAATTAATATTATATAATATAGTATGAATATGATATATATGTCTGTGTTCTACTTATACAATTGTATGTATTTTTGTTCCATAATATGTAATTGTAACATAAGTTGAAGTTGTGGCAGGTGAAGCAGTGGGTCAGAAAGAGGAACGAGGGATCGACATCTGTACCCATATTATTGCATCCTCTCTCATTAAACTTGTTAAATGAACTTATCCTTATACATGCGTTGTTATGAACGATATTAGTATGTGTATCATACTAGGTCACTATATTTATGCCTTTATGAAATACTCATTTGCTTGAAATATCCGGTTTTATTATATCTACTAAACCTCGACTATATCATGAAAAGATGTGATACAGCTACCATGTGTTTATATTACTCGTATAAACGTTATTTTGTCGATCATATACAAAAGGTACATGATATGATAATTTACATATGCATATGTCTTATTATATTGGTGTTAAATATAACTTTACTTTGGTTTTCTGCTTTCTCTCGTGAAATACCAATACTATTTTTAGATATTTGGAGCAGCCAATTAGAGAGGTTTACCCGACCTACAATAAGTCACGGCATGGGGATCTACAATTTAAAATGTTTCATTCAGCACTAATCTACATATGTACACACTCAGAGGAATCAGGACCTGCAAACCGGAGATTAGTTGGATGGAATATCTGTAACACATAATGAAATATTGTTTACTAACACTAGCATATGTTAAATATTGCTTAGCCAGTATTATATGCTTTTATACGATATACAAAAGTATTAGTTCTTTTGAGAGTGTTTAAGTACTGTGTGACTTAACTAGTCATATGTAAAATATCAAATTTTTGTATACCTTTTTATTATATCCAATTTTAAATAATTTAGTTATATGTGTCTATTATGAAAATGCAGGATGTAATTTCGTATTATAGAGATACAGGAATACATACAGGATGTATCAAGGGTGGAATACTCTTATGAATTTTTTAATAAGTCTTTTTCGTACGTTTGGACTAAGTTCCAAGGTAAACAAAATTTATTTAATATTAGTTACAGGACAAACTCTTATGCATACATACTGTAATTTTCAGAATCTCTTAATCTTAATTTCCTTGTATCTCGAAATTTATCAGTGCTTCCAAATTGAAGTACTCTGCTATACTTCTTGATTCCATCTCTGATATTTCTCATTTATTTCATAACAACGTAATTTCTGAAACATTCTGTATATGTACAAATATATTCTGAGGCAAAACTTGAAACATCTCTCTTTAAATATATCGCATTTATAGCTAGTAACATATCTATAGTAACGTTTTCACACATGTACGTGCTTATTATCTTTGATGAAAAGGGAAACAATCTTCATATTTTCTTATAATTACTTATGTTTTGTTATGATTGGCAGGCAAGTAAGAATATCGATTGTCATCTATATTATTTAATGCAATATGTTAAGCTAAAAAAAGTTGTAAGCCGATTATGTATACTTCTGACTAATATTTAATTGTAATATCAGAATGATTATTGGTTTTTATACGAAATCAACGTTATTGTTCACATATATTCATGCAATTATATTCTCAGAAAATGCTCTTAAAAATTACATACTTAAAACGTTCTTAGTAGGTAAACTCTACAAAAAATATTTTAATATTGAAATAAAAAAAATTATTCAATAATGGTCATAAGTGCAAACATTCGTTTGTCACTATGTCCCATGTAATAGAAAAATAAATGTATTTTTAATGCCATTTTTTTTTATTTTAATATTGTTTATATTTAATTAATTAAAATTTGACCACTTGTATAACAATTTACATTTTCATTCAACATATTTTGCGGTATAATTTATATATATTTGTCTCATATTTAATTAAAAACTTATATTTACAATAAGTTCATTACTTTGCTTCGAATATTGTAATACTGAGATATTAAATGGAAATAGAGATATTAAACCAAATTTTTTTACATTTTTCTTTTTCATTATTGTTCTAGGGTATTGCAATAATTATTTCATATGAGTTGTCTCCTGTGCCAGGGAAGAAGGAACGTCTCTATTACCGCAGGTCATAAAAGAAGCAATATTATAATAATAAAACAATATAAAACTAGAAAGCTATAAACGTGATAAGTTTTTATTTATATTTTATATTTCAGTTTAATAACAGTTATACATATATGTGATTTTTCTTTTATATTCATATTGTTTTATAGATACATATATATCTGATATTCTGATTATTGATATATATATATATATATCTTTTTTTTATTTATAACAATGCAGGACAATTCCCTTGAACTGTCCAATTTGAATATTTTTTAAATATATTATATTGTTCGTCATGGTATTTACTATACACGTAAATTAATCATTATAAGAAATTAGGATAATATAAAGTACATGTTGTAAGTAAATCAAAAATTATTTGTATTATTGTATATCTTTAATTTGATTATTTTATACCGAATTATATAAAAAAGTTTCATAGGTTTTATATGAAATTATTATGTTTATAGCGATTTTAATATAGAAAATACGAAAGAACAAAAGAGATATCTTCAATTTCTGTGTTCACATTGTGAACAGAGATGACTACTATCTCTTTTAGTCAATTGTATTGTTGAATTTTTCATATCGATATTCACGTAATCTCTTATAACTTATTCTTATGTTTTAGTGCAACAGTACACTTATTTTTCTTTCTTAAATATACAAAAATTTATGCAATTTTATATTGAGAAAAGAACATTTCAAGTATTTCCTATAATTTTATGCACTTTATTGCAAATAATTAATTGACATTGGCGAATGTTTCAGGGACAAGTGCAACAGAAAGCCTTCCAGTTTCTCTGATCAAGAGAAGCAAATAGCAAATATACCTATGAAAAAGTTACACTTATAGATAACATTTCTGTAAAGTATTATAGATAGAGATACGATGGATCATTAATAATGCAAGATTTGTAAAATACGTAGATATTTGAATTTTTTATAATAAAAAGGTAGTAATGAATAAAAACACAAGTACGGTAATATTATTGTTTATTGTTTAAATGCGGAGAATAATTAGAACCAAATTGAAAGATCTCGATTATATCTCTCAACGTGTCATATAAATTAGCGTAATGACGTTTTCTAATGTAAAACGAGGTTTGATATAACGAAATTATTTTATTTGTGCATATAGAGGACTGTTGTGTAACATTCTTCCGTTTGAGCGTACTCAGCAATAATTCGTAATACTTGAATGTTATCACATAGATAGTAAATACTTTAGCAAGATCACGTGTATATATGTACACATAATATTTCCACCCATATATAAATATTATTCGCCAGCAAATAATACGCGATCAACAAGTATTGCTGTTAAACATTTTTCTCCTAAGCCTTTACTAAGAAGTATAATTTAACACTTATGTAATTACAACGCTTTACATTTCTGGCGGCGGGCCATACATAGGATTTAATTGCTGCGTGCAACGTATAAATGTCGCCCGCCGCGGCAGTTCGCGCAAACGTTCAGCTCCCGTGTAAGTACAAGCAGATCTCAAGCCGCCCAGTATATCCAGTACAGTGTTTTCGACCAAACCTCTATAAGGCACTTCGACAGTCTTTCCCTCTGAAGATCTATACGAGGAATGTCATATCCATTGATCTCATCTTTGCATCATAATAATGATATTTATGATATTACCTGTAGTCGGCGACTCCACCAGCATGCTTCTTCATAGCCGTGCTGGAGGCCATTCCGTAAAAGAGTTTGAACTTCTTCCCATCCTTTTCGATAATTTCCCCTTCGCATTCATCGTGGCCCGCAAACATACCGCCTGCCATGACGAAATCCGCGCCGGCGCCAAACGCTTTCGCCAAATCACCTGGGCAAGTGCAACCACCATCCTGCACGAAAAAAAAAATATATATATATTAACATACAAGTGTAACGAAAATATACTGGACGGACAAGACGGGGATGCAATTATTATTGCAATTCATATCCACACAATGCGCCTTAAAGATGTTACTTTCTTGGACGTCGTTTGGATGTCCTTCACATGTGCGTGTTACGTGAATAATAATCGCACGTCACGAGTAATATAATAATAATAATATATTTACAGCAATAATGTGTCCCTTTAAGCCGTGTGCCGCATCCGCGCATTCAATTACGGCGCTTAATTGGGGATAGCCCACACCAGTTTTCATTCGCGTTGTGCACACGGAACCAGGCCCGATTCCCACTTTAATTATATCTGCCCCGGAAAGTATCAGTTCCTCCACCATTTCTCCTGTCACAACATTTCCTGCCTGTAGTGGCAGCAGTTAATCTTTACGTTTCAACAACGGGTGCAGATTCGTGCCCAATCGTGAGAACGTATCGACAACACAGTGTTTCAATCGACGCTAACATGGGACATTTAATTGTGAGTACTTACAATTATGGTGTGGTTCGGGTATCGTGCTCTTACTTTTCTCACGTGCTCGACAAAATGTTGGGAATAACCGTTCGCAACGTCTAAACATATGAACGACAATTCGGGCACAACATCCAAAATACTCGAGAGCCGTTCGTAATCTTCGTTTCCAGTTCCTGAGCTGGCCGCTACGTTCTTTACGCACTCGGGATTAAGGGTAGCGAAATTTTTCCATTCATCTGCGGTGTAATATTTATGAATCGTAGTAAAAAGGCCATGCTAAAAGAAGGCGCATATAGTAAGTATGGCAATGCACTTTTGGCATCACTGCAAATTCGCTCATACAGTCTCATGAATAATAATACATCCTGGTAGTCGCAACGATGATTTTGCAATCGACGAATATGTGATAAAGCATAGTATGTTCTTTTTTTTTATTTACATCATAACTTATCAGATTATTCTATACCTTTGATAACGCTTTCGCCATCCCAAATGTTCCCACTATATCCATATTAGAGGCCATTACAGGGATTCCTTTGTAAGTTTGCTTCGAATTGCGAAATGTAATTTCTCTAAATAGATCTACCTAAGATGCAAATTGTGAAAATGTTAATTTTCACCGACATATAATGAGTGTTCAAAGAGGCGCATATTGTAAGAACATGTATATACGCATAAGTATATCTGTGTATATTTCGTCGTATTAAATTGATATTTTATTCAGAAATAAATTTTTAATCAAATATATTAATATTAATAATACAGATTACCGGCGATATAATTTCTCTACATTTTTATTATGTACATAAATTGCTATATCGTAAAATAGATGTATCGTGAAAATTACAGGACCCAATTATGTAGATAGACAATATTATGTTAATCTTCCCGTGCCATATAAATTTACAGTATACGAAATTTTGGTCATATCAATCCAAGGCGACGAGTATAGTTAACAGAAACCATTACAAACGAATAGGTAACAGCACGCGACTGAGAATTAAATCAATAAGGAAAGATTTAGGCCGAAATAAATTTCAATTCGGGGACAAGGATTGGTAAACACTTTGCGGATCGCACACTCATTGGTAACAATTGACGACAGGTCCGAGACGTCGTTATAATGCGAGCACGTACAGTAGTTTCGTACATTAACCATTGAATTTAAATCATAATCAGGATACGGGCGATTCGTTCCTGATGTGACACCTTGATGACGTGTCTTTTATTGTTCTTCCTGCAGCATCTTGTCTAATTGCCTTTTCTTCTCAACAAAGGAGAGGTACACACGGGATAATCTTGAGTGATCGCACGCGATTTTTTCTAATTAACGCCAATTATATAAATATGCGACACTCACGTCAGATCTGCTCTTCAGCGTGCTACGCTTTGGGCGTAGCAGCACGTCCTTAAAGTCCAGCTTTATGTCATTTATTATGTTCGGCATTTCGACGAGTGTGTCCTTTCCTGGACGACGGCTGCTCCGATCTAGCAGACGACGACAGCTCTGTCACACGCGAGCTCGGACGTTCTTGCACTGGCTAGCAGTCACCCGGAGATGCCTTATCGCGATACGTCTGCGCTCTAGACGAAGAGGGCTATTTTCGTCCGTCTCTCTTCCTCTTTATTGAACCAGGGCGGTGCGGGTTGAGGGCGCTCCGAGAGGAATTCCCGTCGCCTCGAAACATACACAGGGTGTCCGGTAACAAGCGCGCCTGTCGCACCGGCGACGTCGCCGCTCGTCGGAAACTCGAGAAATGAAATTATCTTTTTGTTTCCAACAGAAATGTCTAGATACGAGAATATCTCTTGAGACCGATAAAATAAATAGAATAAATAATTTTTCCTTCTCTTGGCAAGTCGAGCTTATAGATAGCAGTATCTTGTTTTCAGATGAACTTTGCTTCGATTATCTTGACTTGTGTTGCAATTAAAAAATATGTACAATCCCAAAGAAATTACAAAAAATAATTATAGTTACCGCAATTATAATATTATGTCGAATTTTATTCCCAATGTGTCATGTATATAAAAAAGAAAAGAAAAAAATATATATAGCACAACACGGGTTAAGATTTTATCAAGTATAGATTTGTCGAAAGATTGAGATACATATGCATATTATTAAATAAAAACTAGTTTTCATCGGTCATGATCCAAACCTATTCGTATTTCAAAGTTTCTTAAGCGATTTTGTTTTTCGATAGAACGTATCACTATATGCGTAGTTAAAATTATATTTGCTTACAGGATTGCTTAACTAAAGGAACTAAAATATAATTAATAAAATTTTATTTGATAATAATCATTATAATTTTAAGAAATTTTACATTTCACTTACATCGCTTTTTGAAATATTGAAAACTTATCTTTCGTTCCTTTGATTTTGAAAATATTATAAATTATCATCTGATCGATATCTGTATGTTGTGTCATCAAAAATCGATTATACTTGCGTAAGTTAGTTAATGTATAAAGTTTAAATTGAAATAGCAGGCAGAAAAACGTTTTATATATTTGCTATCGTAATTATATATTTATTTAACTATGTACCATTCAATAATAGCAGAATCATACTGGACCGACTGCTTATAAATATTCAAACAAATTCTTAACTGTGAATTACATCGTACATCGCATCATACTGTGAATAGCACATTATTAAAGATTGTTGTTGGATCTTGGCACGTATGCCACAAAAATATTAACATGACATTTATATAAACCATTTGAAAAAGCATGATACATTTAATGAGAAGAGAATTCACATAATAATTGTTACCAATCTTATATCATCCTTATGAAAAAATGTTCTATTTTATAAGTTAATAATAAGATTAATAATAATAATAATAAGAGTAAGAGGAAATTAAAATTCGTTATGACAGAGGATAATAAAATAAAACGGTATCGAAATTATTTGTTTGTTTTTCTTACATTTTAATTCTATATCATACTCATACAATTTGTAAATTAGTACAGATGATATATGCTTCCAAAGAAGTGTATATCTTTCATTATTTGCATACAATTTTCCCAAATATATATAATCAAATGTTGTATACTTTTTTCCTAATAGAAATATTTTTCCAATTTATTTCTACAATTCTTGTGATAAACATTCAAATTCATATGTAATGAAATAAGTATACAATGAGAATTCATCTGAATCGCCTCCAAGTGCAGTTGCAATGTATACAATAATTATATTAAACTAAATTCAAACGATGGCAATTGTATGTGTAATTGAATATTTTCAAACATGGCACTTTTTTTATTACTTGCATATTACTTTGTAAAAATTGGAAATTGTCGAAATGTGTACAATACAGTCATGTCTCACAATTGTACTGCATTAAAAAAGATTTAAAAATTCGACAAATTTCATGTATCTTTCTATAAGCGTTATATGTGTTATCAGAAAGATTTTTACTAATTGTAATAACACACTATAAAGGCCAATAACGAGGGAGTTTTTAAGAAATTCGTTAAAATTTCAGTCAGGGTTAATATGTGACATATATTTATCGATTTCTGCGAAAGATAGCAGTACTTGGAAAGTGCCGAAAATAAAAATTCAATGGGAGATTTCTTATTGGCAGTTACACGGGGCAGTGTAAGGAAAGAAAAAAACAAGCCATCGTTTACATGTTTTGGAATTCACCGGTACCATTCGCGTTGAGCATAAGTATGTTAGGATTTTCCTTTTCGAAGGCAGTCGCGTCTCTACCTCCTGGTCTTTCTTCCTGTCCCCATTCTCCTAGAGTTCCATGCATTACATCTGGCTGTTCCTTCAGTTTTTCCTCCTCCTTCTGTGACATTATTGACTACTTATGCTCAAACATGAACAAATAAGATAGCACAAGTTTAATTTCCGAGATTCAATTTTAACTAATCAGCCTTTGGATCATTTATGTTTAGTATTATATCTTTTTAAATAAATATATTTGCTTCTACAAGCATGCTGTTTATTACAAAATGTTAAAGGCATGAATATGATTAATAATCTAATTGTATCTTGCGTATGTTGTTAAGATAATCTTAATGTTATATAAGTAAATATTGGCAATAAACATTACGACAGTACTATACTAACTAATACAAAGCTTGAAAGGATCGTATTTATCAAAGACATTATTCATCATTATTTTTCACAAACCTGTTTGTCCTCTTGTGCAAATTTATCGAACATGTTCGCATAAAGTTTCTTCTCTTTAGCTAACTGCTTCTTAATAAGACCATTACAAATAAAAATCTGCTTAGATGCAGCTGTGTTCTTCGGTTCTATTTTTACAACTTCCTGAAAATCTTTAACGGCAATTTCAGGAGACGCTAGCCCAATATGTGCTAGTCCTCTTCTGAATAAAGCCTTTTCGTTTTGAGAATCCAGCTCTAATGCTTTATCGCACGATTCCTTCACCAGGAGATGTTCATCTGTTTTTAGGTAACACAGAGCGAGATTTAAGTGAGTCGTTAACTCCAAATTATTCTTCTCTGGCTTGAGATCACCTTCGAAATCTGCTTCAACGGATAAATATTTTAAAACCTTTTGGTACACTTTAATAGCTAAACTGATTTTGCTGGATTTAAAGTAGTTTGTTGCTTTTTCTTTATGTATCTTTGCTTGTTCTATCTTTTCTGCAGCCTTCATTGACCACATTTCAGTTTCCTGTACACAAAAAACAACTAGTTAAGACGATCACAAGACTGCTAGGATTATTCTTATTATTCAGATTATTCTTATTCTTCTTATTATTCGGATATCACAGTTACCTTCTCAAAGTTCTTAAGTTCTACTTCATATTCCACATCAGCGTTTGGTGGAATATTAAATTCAGCATTTCCTTGTTCCTTATATGCATATTTACTTTTAATTAGTAGTCTAGATTTCTCCCCACTCAAGAAGTGCTTCAATGCTATCTCTACACCTTCTACAATTCCTACAACTTCTCCTTCTCCAAGGCAAAATTCTATATCTTTGTCCTCAAATACTTGTCCATTATATTTTCCAATAAGATGTACTAAACACAAAGAAATTATTAAATAAAAAATACAGATATAACATAAATTTTGTGTTTAACCATATTAGATCATAATACTGACTGTTTACTTGGGCACCATTATCTGGATTAGCATAGGATTTTCCAGCAACAATCTGATATCTTTCAATGCTTTTATCTTTATTTGGACTTAGATCTTCTCCGCTCCAGCTAAGTAATTCAACCTAAAGAAATATATATGTTAAGATGCTTGATTAATGAATAATTTTTTAATTTATTAATTTCTAACATGTATACATCATATATAAATCAGATATTGTTGACATATGTCCATAGATAAAGAATCCCTTTTATATATTATAGTAGAATTTTCTGAAGAATATTTACTTACTTCAAATTTTAATGTAGCATCAGGTGGAATCAAAGGTGGGCTACCATTCTTGCCATAGGCATACTCAGGTGCGCATGTCAATGTAGCTATTTCACCTTTTTTCATACTAGCCACTCCAATATCCCATCCTTTAATGACACTACCGCGCCCCAGATCAAACTTGAATGGCTTACCCCTGTCTTTGCTCGAGTCAAATTTTGTTCCATCCAACAAAGTACCAGTATAATGGACCTTTACCTTGCAACCGACTGTAGGAGTATCATCTCCTTGTCCCTCTTGAGTAATTTCTTTCAATACACCATTGTCTTTTGCAGGGGACAAATCTACTGCAGCCATTCTACAAGTGAAATTAAATATTAGATCAACAGCTCTTGAATGAAAAATGGCTTCGAACGAGTTAATAATTTACGCTTAAGTTTTGCAAAGAGAGAACTTTCTAGACATGAAGCGCGCGAACGCTGACGAGAGGAGGAAATGATACCGCAAAATTGTAGGACGTGATTCCGCAGAAAAATTATATATGAAAATGAGAAGATTCAACGACAATACGTACGCGAAAAAGGAATGTGTTTATTCGTTTATTGTATGTTGCTCCGCTCAAACAAACGCAGATCCTCGCACGCGTGCACGCTAGCGATCTCGAAGAAACTAGTTTCTCCGGTTGTGGTTCCCAAGCAATCAATTTCGTAGAATTTGCCAGAAAATTCGGACCGCGCTGCTAGTACCGATAGTCGGTGTCAGTAGTAGATGTCGGTGTAGATCTCTGATTATATCTTTGACTTCTCGTGCGGGTTTGCATCTTTGCTAAAAATATGGCATTGAATTAAAGCCAGCGGCACACGGTGCTTGTTTTCGTGCTGGGTTGGATGAAAATAGTGCGTTCTGATTGGTACATTTCCGAAGATGGATGGAAATGCACCAATCAGAACGCAGTATTTTCATCCAGCAAGCAATCCAGCACGAAAACAAGCACCGTGTGCCGCTGGCTTTAGACACGATATGTGCTTCAGATAATGACGCCTCTTTGAATTACTTTTGTTATACTAAAATAAACGATAGGCGCAACTACCATCATACTTCATACAACTCAATGCTGTCTTGTATTTGCTCGGTCTATCCGTGTGAGCCATGCGATCGGCAATCGTCGACGCGCCGAGCGAGCGAGAGAGAGAGAGAATATCATTTCCTCCTTGTCGCTCTCGTTCTCGCTCAGCGAGCGAGACTAAAGCTCCTTGCACAACGCCAGGCAACAGGCAATAGAATAAAAATAGACCAATCCCATTAGATTATTATTGTAATAGTCGATTGTGATTAGTCTTTTTTTAGTCTTATTGCTTGTTGCCTGGTATTGTGCAAGGGGCCTAATTCTTTATTTCTTTCTTGCCCATAATCTGAATCGCGGGTGCGACTGTTTCTCTCTCCTTTCCTCTCTATGATAATATTGAAAAGTTTTGTCTACTCGGCGCACCGAAATTATTACAAATAATATTTTATTATTAATAATATTATTATTTATAATATATATTATAGATATTAATCGATATTCGACTTCCGGTACTGATTTACTTTCTCATTTCTCTATAAGAGAAGAAAAAATTAATACGAATCGTTCGTTTATATATTCGAGTTAATTTGTTGAATAAATTAAAGGGATAAGTACCTGAAATATGAGAACGAATTGTCATTGCATTTGGACAATCTTCTAACACTGACTTATGGTATTGATCGACATTCGATTTTCGGTACTGATTTACTCTTTCATTTCTCTACAAGAAAAAAAAATTTATATGACTCGTCCATTTATCCGCGTTAATTTGATGAATAAATTAAATATTGATCGGTCTTCAATTTTCGGTACTGATTTATTCTCTTATTTCTTTATAAGACAAGAAAAATTGTCACTAGCCATAAGTATGCAATGTTATGATTTGATCATATGTCATTTTATTCTACTGACATTAAGGGTCTACAGGAGCCTACTAGAGACCTCTTGCGGAGACCCGCGAACTAGGCAAAATTATATTGCAAATTATGAACAAAATATGAAGAGAATCACCTTATATGTATGATATTTGCAATCAGGAGAAACGTCCGCAGGGTCGTACAAAACGCTTTTTTGGAAAAAAAGTCGAAATAAAAATCGATTAAATAATTTGAATGAACGTTCATCCCGCGGTGCAGTACGAACCTATATTTTCATTTATTACAAATTTTCAAGAACCTGAATGCAAAATCAGGCTCTGTACGACCCTAGATATTAATATAAGGAAGATGTCCATGTATATCTGATAAGGAAATATGATGTATGCGTGGCAAAATTTGTAAGTGTAGATAACACGGAAAGTGTAGCCCAGTTGCACTATAGTGCAGTCTATATGATCTAACCTGAGAGCAGCCAATACGACATTTTCTGCGACACCGACTTTCCGCATTGGGAAAGGACGCCATCTGCATCCATTTTGAGAGGGGAATTACGATAGTACATCCACTTTCAGGTCTCGGTGGTAAAATCTGCATGTGGTGGAAGTCCATGCTACATCCACTTTCAGGCGGTTTATGTCCGTGCTGCAATGACAGTTGCCATCTCTATTCCAGACTATGCCCGAAGGTCTAAAAAGAGCGGGGGAGAGCGGGGAGGAGCAGAAAAAATAAAAGTACATATTAAATGTTAAATCTTCGAATATATATTGCCGTATCAAAGTCTCTTCTATAATAAACAATTTGACATGTATGGAGACGCATGATGTATCGTTGTCCGCGTCCCGTTCACTTTGTCTTGTTTTTTAATTCAGCATCCCGTCCGCTCCGGACATTCACTCGTGACACTGACAGTGGCCGTCGGTGAGCATTCGATCCGCTTGGAGGAGCATGTGTTATTCACGTAATTAACGTGACAAGACTCCGATTATAAATATCCCGCGAGTCGACGAAATATTTGAACTTTTAAAAAAAGCATCAAAGAAAATCACGTTAATGTTGTCATGGGTAAAAATCTCACCCCAGTATATATTTTCTTATTTTCGAAATAAAAAAAGCCAAACGAATGCAATTAAATGTTATTTATTATCATTGAATATTAGATGAAAAGTAGAAGACTTATTGTCCGCAGCGGATAATCTAACATTTAATAAGAACGAGACAAAATTCGCATGTCAATAGAGACGGTTTAAATTCGGCGTAATATGATTCTTGGGACAGACGTAAAGTATTACGAAGTTTGAAGCGAATCTCTCACAGGCATGCTTTGAAAATACGAGTTGTTTTCATTTTCAGCTAACGGACGACGCAGGCATCAACACTGATCGGCAAAGTGGGGGGTAACCGTGCCTTCCCGATTGTTTGTTTTCATACGCTTATACATGACTCCGTGATTGCGGAAAGGACATTGCGCCTCGGGCCGACGAACGACGCGCATACCGCGACGCAGAGTACGAGTGTCGGTAGTCGTATCGGTTAATACGCGTTTCTTTGTCCGAATCTTACTTGCGCGAGTGTTAGAGCTAGAGTCAGTGTCGTCGCCAGTGCTACGATGGAGTATCCGGGGGTGCTGCGACGGAGTAACCAGAAGGAGGACGTCGGATCGAGAAGTCAGGATGCAGAGGACTTGGAGCGCGCCGAGAGACGTGGACAGCGATACATCATATATGGTATTCGAGGTATCTCGAGTCATTATTATTACTCAAGATTTTTCTGATTTTAACGGACCTTATTCGAAGTAAGGACATACCCGAGTCGAAATTAGATCATCATTCATAGTTTATCATCTGAAAAATAGTTTGAAATTTGATTATTCGTTAAACTAATTTCACGTAACATGAGTTCTACTTTTCTTTTCTCATAAAATATGAATGTCTATTCAAGCAAGGTTGCTAAGGCAAGCTAAGGTTTATGAATACAAATTTGTAATTATGTTCTCAATGAAAAATTGCACATAATTTAAAAAACTATGAATAATGATCTTAGAATCTGATATAAATTTTACAAGTATTGATTTTTATTCGCCTAATAATGCTCAGATTGCTGTTTCCCTTTAGAATCTGCTAGAATGTCCGTTTCTCATTCTTGTTTATCTTTCTTATTGTACCGAATTAGAATTAAAATCTCTATTAGTGAAACAGCATTATTAGACATAACCGTTGTCTTTTTGCAGCTTCAGCTCTTTTGAGAGCTACAATTCTCATCATTCTCATTAGAAAAAAGAAAAAAAAAAAGAGAAGAAAAAAGAAAAAAGAACTTTAAGAATGATGAGAATAAAAAGTGTTTTTCATCCCCCATTTCCTCTAATTCTTATATGATTATTTAATCCTTATATATTTATCTCACGCGCAGTTCTAACAAAGGCAGTTCTATTTACGTGTTTATCTTTGTTCTCTTTCTTGCGCTGTTAAGCAAATATATAATCAATATCAACAAAAATTGCTCATTTAAATTAAGAATATAAGGATTAAGTACATATACATTATCGAGATAAACGAGTATTAAACTGCGGAATACGTCGCTGTTGAAGACTCATCATGGGCGAGACTGCGAGAGTAGCCAGATGTAACGTTCAGGTAAGACAAAGCTTGTTCACTATTGCGCATCTAGATATTCTGCAATGATTTTTCAAATTGGATGCAATTTGCAGGATCAATGTAGAATTAATATTTCGACTTGGGAAAGACTCGGGAATGAGAACGAATTGTCATTGCACTTGGACAATCTTCTGACACTGATTTATGGTATTGATCGATATTCGATTTTCAGTACTGATTTACACTTTCATTCCTATACAAGAAAACAGAAAATTAATACGAATCGTTCATTTATCCGCGTTAATTTGATGGAAAAATTACGTATTGATCGGTCTTCGGTTTTCGGTACTGATTTATTCTCTTATTTCTTTATAAGAGAAGAAAAATTGATACGGATCGTTCGATTAACAGAATTCATTTGTTAAGTAAATTAAAGGGGTAAGTACCTGAAAAATAAGAACAAATTGTCATTGCACTTGGACAATTCTCTGACACTGATTTACGGTATTAATCGATATTCGATTTTCGGTACTGATTTACTCTTTCATTTCTCTATAAGAAAACAGAAAATTAATACGAATCGTTCATTTATCCGCGTTAATTTGATGGAAAAATTACGTATTGATCGGTCTTCGGTTTTCGGTTCTGATTTATACTCTCATTTCTTTATAAGAAAAGAAAAATTGATACGGATCGTGCGTTTAACACAGTTAATTTGTTAAATAAATTAAAGGGGTAAGTACCTGAAAAATAAGAACAAATTGTCATTGCACTTGGACAATTCTCTGACACTGATTTACGGTATTAATCGATATTCGGTTTTCGGTATTGATTTACTCTTTCATTTCTCTATAAGAAAACAGAAAATTAATACGAATCGTTCATTTATCCGCGTTAATTTGATGGAAAAATTACGTATTGATCGGTCTTCGGTTTTCGATACTGATTTATACTCTCATTTCTTTATAAGAAAAGAAAAATTGATACGGATCATGCGTTTAACACAGTTAATTTGTTAAATAAATTAAAGGGGTAAGTACCTGAAAAATAAGAACAAATTGTCATTGCACTTGGACAATTCTCTGACACTGATTTACGGTATTAATCGATATTCGATTTTCGGTACTGATTTACTCTTTCATTTCTCTATAAGAAAACAGAAAATTAATACGAATCGTTCATTTATCCGCGTTAATTTGATGGAAAAATTACGTATTGATCGGTCTTCGG